GGTGTCCTAGCAACTTGTGAAGGCGACCCACTAAATTTTGTGGGGTTTTCTTGTACAGCCTTGCATTCTGGAATCTAGAATCTTTAAGTACTCCTTCTTTCTTGTTTCCTGAAAATCTTGGCTCCTACTCTATAACAGTTTCAATAACAATGTAAATATTTCCCACTATGCATGTGCAAGCAAAAGACCGTCTTTTGAAGTCACTTGAAATTATTTTCTCTGTGTGAGAAGTTAACATAACCCTGGCTTGTAGAACTAGGTTTGTCTTATTTTTTTCAACCTATAATTTATAGTGAACGCTTTTTATTTCTTTTTAATTTTTTACTGCTGTTAAAAGAAATACATGACATTAAATTTACCATCTTAGTCATTTTTAAGTGTACAGTTCAGTGGTGTTAAGTATACTCCCATTGTTGTGCAAGAGATCTCCTGAACTTTTATCTTGCAAAACTGAAACTCCATAGCCATTAAACACTAATTCCCCCCTCTCCATTCCCTCAGCCTTTGGTAACCACTTTTCCACTTTGTTTCTGTGATTTTGACTACTTTTGACATTTCACGAATAGAATCCCACAGTATTCGTCCTTCTGTGTCTAGCTTATTTATTTCACTTAGCCTGATGTCCTTAAGGTTCATCCATACTGTAGCATGTGACAGTATTTCCTTTCTTTTTAAGGTTGAATAATACCCTACTGTAAGTATATACCACATTTTCTTTATCCACTCATGCATCACTGGAAATTTGGGTTGCTTCTACCTCTTGGCTATTGTGAATAATATTGCAATGAACATGGTTCTAAGGCCAAAAGAAAATATATTAAGGACACCTGCCTTTTGTCCCCAACTCTGTATGCCACTCTTCTACTGGTAATCATTTTTATCTATCATACCATTATTTCTTTTGAAAATAAAAGTTCATTCATAAACACTAACATATATACACATTCTTCCTCTAAATTTTACTTGAAAGGGTTTAGTCTTTTTGCCATAGCATAGCCATTAGAAAGCATTCAGACATTCTACTGCAGGACAAACAACAGCCTATCCCATCCCTCCTAGGCAAATCTCCTTTAGATGCAAGACCAGGACAACCCAACCATTCATGGTTTAACATAATAATCTCCAGTAAACTTTAAGGTTCCTTGTCAAGGCTGAAGATCAAAGATCACCCTTTGGCTGGCCAATGTCTAAGAGTTTGTGAGTTGCAAACGTCTAACAAGTCTCTTGCAGGAATCCTCTCCCTCCAGGGTTAACCTAATCAGTCCTTTGTGACCCACCATTGCAGCAATCATGTGACTAACCCACCCACCTGCCTGCTGTCCATCACCTGACTTCAGTACCTGCACTTAGTCTGCCCCTTTGTGATGACAAGGAGCAGACCACCACCTAATCACCTTAATGATCTTCCTGGGAATGGTTAAAAGGACTCAATCACAAAAAATCATCGGCTATTGCCTTGCTAGACCCTGGTGTAGCCATGTGCTCTTTGAGCTATGGCTGTGGCCATGCTTCCTGGCTTTGGCCCCCTCGCCCACCTTGGGGAAGTGAATCTTCTCTCTCTCTTCTCTTTCTCTCTTGAATTTACTCTTAAATAAACTTTTCCTTTTTTAACCTCTTTGTGTGTTGCAATTTTTTGCAATTACTCAGATCTCTGGATTACCAGTGCTGTGTCTCCCTGCGTCTCTCCTCTCTCTCCATCCACCCACCCTCACCCTGTCCGGACCCTAACATTATTTATATAAAAGGGAGAACTCTATTCTATCCTGCACCTTGGTTTCTATTACTTAATATCCCAGACATGCCCCACCTTGAGTGGAAACCTTCCTTATCCCTTTTGAAAACTACGTAGTACTTTACTCTATATCAAAGGGCCATAATATTCGCTCAGTCCCCTACGATGAAAACTCGGGTTGTTTTCAGTCTTTTCCTATTACAAAGTGTTGCACTACATGCACTTGTGCACATGCCATTTCTTATTTTTGCTCATGGATACTTAGGATAGATTCCTAGATGGTAGCCTGTTCAGCTGAAAAAATACACAGGTGGTTTTGCTAGATCTTGACAAATACCCTCTCATGGGGTTGTGCCATATCACGTTCTACCAACTACAGTAGCAGAAGACTGGTTTCTCTTAACCTTATCACTAGAGAACAGTTATGCTGTCAAACTTTAGGATTTTGCCAATCTGTAAAAGGGACATGGTATCTTGGTGCAGTTTTAAAATGCATTTCGCTTATTGTGAGTGAGGCTAACATCTTTCCATATATTTAGAGAATACATTTCTTTTTTCTCTGAACTGTTAACAGCTTTTTCCCACAGGATTATGAAACTTTTGTGCAGTTTTTAGAAACTCTTTATATATATATTTATTAGTAATATTAGCCCCCTGTGGTATAATTTGCCTATGGTGTTATTGGTTCTTGTTTTGCCCATACAGGTTCTTTCTTTTTTTTTTTTAAGGGAGTCGAATACATTGATTTTCCTCAATTTCTACTAAATCTTGAATGATAGTTAGGAAATTTATCCCCCCTCCCAGATCAACAGGAACTAATCCATGCTTTTGTCTTCAGTTACATTTTAAGCAGTGAATTTCTTTCAAATCAATCAACCGATACAGTTGAAATCCTCCATCCACTGAGACCAAAATAGGTTTTTGCAGGACTCTGAATTTCAACTTTATACTTTCTGGAAAAGTCTCTCTTCTCTACTCCCTAGATACAGGGAGTCACCATCTCTTGGAGGGGACATACCTTCCATGCCATAATTCAGGCAGTTTTGGCCACTGAGGACACAGTTAACGTTTTATTTCACTTGATGCAGCACACAGGTCACTTCTTAGGCTATCCTGTGCCATCTCATCCCACTCCCTCAAAATTATACAGCAAAGTCAAACTGCAGGTGAACTCTAATCATGCCTCACCCATGCTGATAGCCACCTGTCACCTAATGTAGCCAAAATTAGTTTGTCCCCTGGATTGTGCCCCTGAACTGTGCCCCAGGGACAGCTTCCAAAAGCAGGACAATGTAGCTCCAGGGACAATAACAATGTTTACAACACATACAGCATGCTCTCACAAATCTAAGCTAAAAAGAACACCTAAACGTTGAGTTGATTTGTGAAATTATTCCCCTAATCAGTCATACCCATTCTTAAATCTCCCTTCTCATTCATACCAACATCCAAGAACTAGTCCAATGTGTTTGCTGTCACATGTAGTGAACCTGAGAAAAGGGTCATCTTTGGTGGCTGCATACAAGGGAGAGTGGCAACCACATCGGGAAAAGCCTTGGACATGTTCTGGAGAAATGTTCAGTAAGGAGTATCATTAAAAACTATTTGCAAAATGACTTTTCATCAACTTTGGATTGGCAGGCTCTAAAGGCTCTAAACACGTTTCAGGCCACACAGTTCCGGAGGGCCTTTGGGTCTGACTCAACAAAGCAAACAGATTCATGTTTTTAGAAATTCTAGAATGGAAACCTCTAGATTAAAATTATTCTGATAATTTTGGAAAATGAGAATTCTCTACTCTGAGCATCCAAATTACTGGTTTAACTCATGAGACATTTCATTCCCAGAATACGACTTCATCACTAAGGTCTACTGACAAGTAATAAATTTATTTTTGGCACAAACACTATCAAGTCTGGTTTGATAGCTAATTAAAAATGAGCCGAGGCCGGGCTTGGGGCTCAGTCTGAAATCCTAGCACTTTGGGAAGCCAAGGCGAGTGGATTGCCTTAGCCCGCAGGTTGGAGACCAGCCTGAGCAACTTGGCGAGACCTCATCTCTACGATAAGTAACAAAAAAAATTAGCCAGGCATGGTAGCATGCACTTGTAGTTCTGGCTACATGGAAAACTGAGGTGGAAGGATTACTGGAGCCCGGCAGGTCAGTGCTGGGGTGACTGTGAGTGTGCCACTGTACTTCAGCCTGAGCGATGGAGTAAGACTCCAACTCAAAAAAAAAAAAAAAAAAAAAGAGGCTAGAGGCAGGTAAATAATAGCAGCAGAAAGAAATGATTAAAAAAAACTATAAAAATGAGAGAGTCTAAATACGAGTCCAGCATCTGGGACCAGTTAGCTTACCACCATCTAGTGTGCTGCTCTTACTACAGCACCTCGCAAAATAATCACTGCTACTGAACACAACAAAACCAAGTCAGCAAGAGAAGGTACAATTTCATTATGGATCCAGTAAATAAGAAATCAGTAAGGGCTGGGTGCAGTGGCTCACACCAGTAATCCCAGCACTTTGGGAGGCTGAGGTGAGAGGATTGCCTGAGTCCACGGGTTCCAGACCAGCCTGGGCAACTTGGTAAGACCTCATTTCTACAATAAATCAAAAAATTCGCCAGGCATGGTGGTACATGACTGTAGTTCCAGCTACTTGGAAGGCTGAGGCTGAAGGATGGCCTGAGCTCAGCACGTCAAGGATCCAGTGACTGTGAGTGTGCTACTGCACTCCAGCCTGGGCAGCAGGATGAGAACTTCAACTCAAAAAAAAAAAGCCAGGAAGATATGAAACTAAGTTTCAAAATAGTTCCATTTTAAAAAGACTACTTTTTTTTCTTTAAAAAAGTTTGATGCTTAAATAATTAAATTAAGGTTTAACTATTTGGAAAACATATGCATGGAAGACCTCATTCCTCATTAATGATGAGTGTACCATACACAGAACCTCTATGTCCTCAAACGTGTTTAGTGTCTGCCAATCCAAAGTCAATGCAAAGTCCTTTTGAAAATAGTTTCTAATGATACTTTGCACTGAATATTTTCTACAAAACACTTCCAAGGCTTTTCACAAAATGCTCTCTCGTGGTCTTTCAATTCCAGTTTTTTAAAATATTCACCTATCCCCAAGGTAAAGGCCCAACAGTACACACTTCTACAGCTAGGGGTCCTGAGAATCATAGCCCCAAATAGGTAGCTGTCTAATCAGTTTTCCCATCTATCTTTGGTGGCATTCTGGAAAGCAGAAGTGAAACATGAATACTCACGGAACATGGTATAAAACTGCTGAGGGTTCAGATTCCATTTTCCCCAGGGTGTCTTGTGGCCTTTAGACTGGGCATAATTAGCATGATTGAACTCTGGTTCAGTACCAAATGAATCAAGGACTCGGAGCATACACCTGAAAGAAAAAAAGCGATATGCATAAAATCACATTCTTGACCCAAAGTTCAAAAGGTAAAAGTTTTAAGCCTTCCTCCAGGACCACTGAACAAATACTTTATTGTTTGTTTGTTTGTTTGTTTGTTTTTGAGTTGGAGTCTCACTCTGTCGCCCAGACTGGAGTGCAGTGGCCGCTCCTGGCCACTGCAGCCTCGACCTGCTGGGCTCCGGCAATCCTTCCGCCTTAGCCTTCCACGTAGCTGGAACTACAGGCGCGCGCTACCACGCCTGGCTAATTTTTTTATTTATTACAGAGACGAGGTCTCACCAAGTTGCCCAGGCGGGTCTCAAACCTACAGGCTCAGGCAATCCACTCACCTCAGTTTCCCAAAGGCACAGGATTACAGGCTGAGCCACCAAGCCCAGCTTGAACAAATACTTTTAAATAGAAGCACTACTGGGCAAGAACTGAGAGGTTTTAGAATAGCTCGGGTACCAAACATCTACATGTGTGACTGCTGTGCGAGCCATCGTGCAGGAGGTATGATTTGCTTCAGACTGGTTGACTAATCACAGAGAATCACTCAAACAGCAAAATAAAAAGTTCCCAGAAAGTTGTAACTGGGGAACTGCCATGTTCATTGCTGTACACCTAGCAACTAGCCAGGGCTGAGCACACAGTAGGTGCCTAATCAATAACTGTGAAGGAATAATGAGCTACCATCCTTTGTGGTCTTATTCTACTTAACACATAAAGCACGTGTTATCTCTTTCAAGAACAGTTCATCAGTTAATTAGAGTATTTATTGTAGGTAAATCTTAGAATTTTGTTCAACAGGTGGTGGGATTTTTAAGTATTTGATAGTAGAACTTCATTGGTTTCTACTAGAGCCTGAAGAAATTCACGTTAAGGTGTTTTGTCTTGTTCTTCCACCAAAGCCTTAGAACAGGGCCAAATTTGGTCTACCACCTATTTTTGTATGGCCTGTGAGCTAAGAATGATCTTTACATTCTTAAATGGTTAAAAAAAAAAAAAAGACAATATTCTGTGACATAAAAACTAGATGAAATTCAAGTTTCTGCATTCAGAATGCACCCATACCCTGCTGCTGACCTACTGTCTATGGCTGCTCTCACACTGTAACAGCAGAGTTGAAAAGCTGCAGAGACCATATGTATGGCCCGCAGAGCTGGCCCTCTGCAAAAAAAAAAAAAGAAAGAAAGCTTGCCAACCACTGTTTCAGAGTACACAAAGAATGACCAATCAGAAGAAAGGAACCAATACTGAAACAAAATTTATTGATTTCGATCACACTTATTTCATCACTGATTCTCACAACAGTGATGTAAATTTAACTTGTGGGTGGCTAATAAAAACAGCTCTAATCTGTTATGTATCAAATAATTATTCTGAATAACTTTTAATGGACCAATAAGCATAAAAGTAAATAAAGATAAAAGCCCACATTTTAGAATCAGTTGATGGCAATGACTTTTAAGGATCTGATTCAGTTTTTTTCTTGGTTTTCTGACTATAAGAAGTCATTCTTTTCACTTTTTATTTTCAATTCAATGAATGATTCAGAAAAAAAAAAAAAATCCCAAGACCAGATTGAATTTTCCAGGAAGTGCACTTATAAATTGTCATGTGTGTGTGCTAGGTTTCTCATTAGCAATTACTACCATCTGGCTAGACAAGGGGGAGGAGAAAAGAAAGAGGGAAGGCCACAACCACAAGTGAAATACAAGCTGATCACAGGAATAATTTCCTTGTCTGGGATTCTTGTGTGGCTCTCGAGGAACGTGCTCTCATCATAGTGACAAGTTTCACAATATCGCCAAAGACGTGTCATCACCCTGGCAGTCAATAGGTGGACAGAAATAAAAACCCAAAGTCCAGGAAAAAGAAAGCTAGGGACTCAAGGAACCGAGTAATGCTTATTTTCCTTACTCTTCAAATAGCTCAGAGCATTCCTTTCCTCTTCTTAATAAAACATTATAATTTCTTTTTTTTTTTTTTTTTGAGTTGGAGTCTCACTCTGTTGCCCAGACTGGAGTGCAGTCGCCGCTCCCGGCTACCGCAGCCTCGACCTGCTGGGCTCTGGTGATCCTTCCGCCTCAGCCTTCCGAGTAGCCGGAATTACGGGCATGCGCTACCACGCCTGGCTGATTTTTTGATTTATTGCAGAGATGAGGTCTCACCAAGTTGCCCAGGCGGGTCTTGAACCCGCAGCCTCAGGCAATCCACTCACCTCAGCCTCCCAAAGGCGCGGGATTACAGGCTTAACTTATATTTTTCCCTCTTAAATTAAGGTACAAAAGGAACTAGTTGAAGTCAGTATATTTTCTCCTGAAAAGGACTGCTGTGTTTCAGACACAGCAGGGAAAATGGTGGCAGGTCTGCAGAAGGTCACTGTGAGAGGAAGTAGGAGAGGGCAGGACCCATGCTGATTCGTGGTGCTGTGTAATGCTCTCATCAGAGTTGGGATTCACCAGCACCATTTTGTGAGAGATTGCAGTGCTCTGTGTGGGCACAGCAAGAAGAAATGGGAAACCCCAGTCATAAGGAGCCTTGTCTTAAAAGTTTTGGTTCCTTTCACTTATTTGCATTGTCCCTAGAAGTCTTTAAGATCCCTTGGTATCTGCAAGAAATTGGTCCCAGAACCCCTGTGGATACCAAAATCTTCGGATGCACAGATCCCTTACATAAAAGGGTGCAATATTTGCATGTAACCTATGTTCATCCTCCTGTAAACTATAAATCACCTCTAGATTACTTATAATATCTAATACAATGTAAATGCTATGCAAATAGGTACTATATTGTTCATTTGTATTATTTTTATTGTTGCATTATTTAAAAAAAATTCTTTTTCTAAGTAGTTTTGATCCATGGTTGACGGAATCCCCGAACATGAAACCTACAGATACAAAGGGCTGACTATATATTCTTCTCCAACTTTGGCTGGTAACCATACTATTAATTTGGAGTTTTATCACTGTTGCTAATTTGCACAATCAAAACAAGCCCTGATGGAGCCTAGATACAATCTATGTGATGTTGGGCTCTTCATGATGGAATGACCAGGTATCTCTCAGAAACTTCTAATTCCACTTCATTTTCCTTGAGGCTTTGTCTTGGGAATTGTTTCCTTTCTAGCTTATCTAGGTTTGATTTGTAAATCAGAGGCAGAGATTGGTCTTGGTCTATGACATGGGAAATTTAACATTATAGCTTTTCCTCATGTTCTGCATCTATGTGTTTTGAAATTGTATTTGTGTTAATATTTGTGCTGCCCCTCTAATGTCTCTGTGTATCTGGAGCATCAGGAACAAACTAATGACTTGAAAAGATATATGCCTGATCCCCAAGGCAGCTGGCTTTCCTCTAACAGGAAACACAGCAGCAATGCCAAATGACCTGAACCATCTCTTTGCTCTCAGGCATACTACCATGAAATGGATACTCCCAAGGTCCCTGGCAGGCCCTGCTTTCTTTTTGTTGGTTGACATAAAACATGGAAAATCTTAGACTATTTGCAGCTTCCTTTCTTGTGTGTTCTCAATGCTTAACAAAGGCCTCATAGTAAGCAAAATGGGTATGAGTTTTGCAGTACCTAGCAGAATACAGTTGCATGAGGCCCTTAATAAATGTGCGATTGAATTTCCTAAGTCCCTATGTAAAATCTAATTTTTAATTTAAATTAGATTTTCCCAAGATCAACAGGCTTTTAGGTTTGCTCCTAATCAAAACATTAGATGATAATATTACATTTAATGGAACATATACATTATCCAAGATAAATACAGAACCCTAACAATTTACAGTTTTTAAAGGAAAAATAAATTGGCAAGAAACTTTCAAGAGGACTTGGTTGGCCTTTTGATGGAATCTTCATGTCATCATGCCGCAAAGACTGCAGGGCGAATGCACAAAGAGACCTCCTGCCAGCTAATATCACTAACGCAGATGATTTATCAAAGAAAGGCAGATAAACATTACACTCTTCCTTAAAACTCCCTCTGAGGTGGTGTTTTTCATCCAACATGAATCAAATAGCAATCAATGTCGACCATTTTAATAACAAAATCATCCTATTTAATTGATCTAAACAATACTGCTGAGAATATTTTTCCATCCAACAGCCCTCCTTGATGGCAAGGATATGTAAATACAGGGAAGTCTGTGCTGCCTGGTATCCTTTGCACACTTACCCCATGTCTGTCATTCACAACAGCTCTATTTTTTGTGATGATTTAAACAAAACAAACCCCTCCCCCAAAATGGAAAACATCTGATGCAAAAGATAGAGCACTACCTTGGCCCATGTCAAGTTTTTAATTTTGATTTTGTTATATTCATGTTCCATTTACACTATTAAATATGATCTTTATTTAAATTCATTCACCTTTTAGAATTTATTTTTTAACGGAAACTCTTAAAGATCATAAATAAAAGTTAGCATCAATTGTAATAAATGGAACAAAAAAAGCATGTAAGCTTTCTTTAAAAAGTATGATTACATTCCAAGTAGATGCTTTTGCCTGCTAAAGACTGAGACTGACATCTATTCTGACGTTGTTAAAAACACATGTAAGTTTTAAAATAAGTGTTGGAGATACAGCAGTATCTCAGAAAGACTGAAAGAGTTTGAAAATTAGTAAGTCTCATTATATAATTCAATGTTATTTAGTGCTATGTTTGATAAATACCATGCAAAATTGTTTCAAATACTGAATCATGGTCCCAAACCCACACCCAGGGAAACACTGAACCATTCTACTAAATAATAAAGGCTGTACAGAGGGCTGGGCTCGGTGGCTCAGCCTGTAATCCCAACACTTTGGGAGGCCGAGGCGAGTGGACTGCCTGAGCCTGTGGGTTTGAGACTCACCCGGGCAACTTGGCGAGACCTCGTCTCTACAATAAATCAAAAATTAGCCAGGCATGGTAGTGCGCGCGTGTAGTTCTGGCCACTTGGAAGGCTGAGGTGGAAGGATCGCCGGAGCCCAGCAGGTCGAGGCTGCAGTGGCCAGAAATGTGCCACTGCACTCCAGTCTGGGTGACATCCAACTCAAAAAAAAAAAAAAAGACTGCACAGAGAAAACATGTACACTGCAGGCATACTAGCCATGGACTTATCTTAAGAAGTGTAAGACCCCAGCATTCCATCAGGTTATTTTCTCAACGTTCCCTTCCAGAAACAGCAAGAATACTAATGAGGAAAAAGGTAAGATAAATGAATCATCATCACAAACCCGCAGGGCCGCATAAATGATGCTGTTCATATTTTATCAAAATTTTCATTTGATTAATCAAATGAGACTAGCGTAGGCATAGAGGAATGTTAAGCAATAGGGAAGGTAAAAAAGAGGTTGAGCATTTGTTTTCTATTCTTAAGAAATCAATGAAAATAATGAACAGCCCTTCAAAGTAGAAAGTCACTGTGAAGAATCTGAATTTTAATTAGTAAAGAGAAACACACTCCACACAGTTCAAAAGATAATATTGGATGAGCTTGTTCTACCTGCAGTCATGGAATTTTCATTAGAAAAACAAACAGAAAGCACAAAAATTTAAGTAAAAGTAGTATGTAGCACTTACTGGTAATGGACCCAGGATGGTCCAAGAGTTTTCTTGAATTGAGCAAGTCCTACGATATCAATATAAATGAGTTCAACGATTCTGTCTCCTACAGTAGGGCAGCCAGATCGGTTTCCTACAACCTTTTTCATGATTCTAAAGAAAGGGTAAGAGAGCAGGGGAAAAAAAGAGAAAAGAAACCATTTACTTCAAGGTAATAAACTTGGCAACTTTAATAGGGAAATACCACTCCCAAATCCTTATGAGAGATGACAGCATGGCCTTTCCCATACACAAAGGCCAACCCAGGACCCTGATCCTGACTCTCGCAAAAGCAAATGATGGCATATAAACACAGCCTTTGAAATCAAAGAAGATTTGGGTCTAAATCTGTCTCCACCATGTAGCAGCTACAAGACCTCATGCAAACCACTCTGAATCTTTCTTTGTTCATCTTCCAGAAAAGAAGGATTGGAGTGAAGATGACAATACCAGCCACCCAGGAATTCTTTGTGAGGTTAAATGAGCAACTGAATAGAACATGCCTAGTGTATACTAGATACTCAGTAACTATTAGTGTTCTCCCCTAAAGTTGGTACTTATTATGTACCACCCTTACTAACCTCCCCCTTTTTCAAAATGTCTTCCATTTCTAGCCTCCACAGTATTACTAACTTCTCTCTATCCTGTCTTCACTGTTCCCTAACTTTTTCTCTTATGTCAGATTTTTCCTTCTAACTCAACTATATTATAGAACTGGCACTATGGCTTATACATTTTCATTACCTTTTCTCCATCCACCTACCCATCCAGACATACAAAACGATCCTTGCACTCAGAGTAACAGTGTACTTGATTGGTATGCCAGTTTCTTGTATAAGAGAGAATAACTGCTAACCCTTCTGCCATTCACTCAACAATTAGTCACCATTAGTCACCACTGTTGCTTCTTATCCCTGCTCACACTCCACAATAATCCTTCACCAAATTACGGGCATCCTACCTCAGCATCACAGACAGGACTCTACTCTACAGCCCCATACTGCCACTGTGCCAATCATCCTTCCTCTCCCCTGGGTTTCTGAAAGGATAGGTTCTGTACAATCAATTTCTTCTCAAGAGTTAAAAAATTTTAAAAAAATAAAAAAATTTTAAAAACCTCTGTTAAGAGTCAGGGAGTAAACCCTTTCAGCTTGGCATAACTATTCCTCCTTGCCATTGTAGAATGGAGGCTGCCATATACCATATATGAACAACGGGCGTGGCTGTGTTCCCATGAATCTTTTTTTTTTTGAGTCGGAGTCTCACTCCGACGCCCAGACTGGAGTGCAGTGGCCGCTCCCGGCCACTGCAGCCTCGACCCGCTGGGTT